TAGATGCCAAGTACTATAGGGCATGGAGAAAGAGGGAAGCTGAAAGGAGGTATAGCAGGAGGCAAGGGTGTGGAATGAAAAAGGAAGGAAGAACTTAAAGTGCCACAAGCTCCCTAGAAGCTTCTGTCTCAGTTCAGAACTCCTCCCCAAGCTAAAGGATGGAGGTGGCACAGATGCTGCAGAGGTTAATACATGGAGCTAGAGCAGTGTTGATGTTGCTCTACTATCTATTAAGGGGAAGACCTGCATCACCAAAAAACATTCTTTGAAAACAGAGGCTTAAATGCCCGACACAAAAACATCTGCAAAATCATCACAGTTCTGTATTAAAGCATTTACTAAGCAGACAAAAGAAAGGGGATAAAAGGATAGTAAAATTTTGCTTTCATCTATCTAAGAGAACACCATCAATTATACATTATATAGTGAATAAAAAACAGACTAGGGACAACGTAGGCCCCTTCTGGAAGATATTAGCAGAACTGGCTACACAGGATTTGGAGAAGGCTGAGGTTCTGAATGACTTCTTTGCCTTGGTCTTCACTGGCAAATGCTCTGACCGCACCACCCAAGACTTGGAAGGCAGACGAAGGGACTGTGAGAATGAAGACCTTGGGCCCACTGTAAGAGAGGATATGGTTTGAGACCATCTTAAAAACCTGAACGTACACAAGTCCATGGGACCTGAAGAAATCCATCCACGGGTCCTGAAGGAGCTGGCAAATGAAGGTCCTAAGCCATTGTCCATCATGTTTGAAAAATCATGGCAGTCAGGTGAAGTTCCCAACGACTGGAAAAAGAGAAATATAACCCCCATTTTCAAGAAGGGGAAAAGGGATGACCCAGGGAACTACAGAGCAGTCAGTCTCACCTCTGTGCCTGGCAAAATCTTGGAGCAGATTCTCCTGGAAGGCATGCTAAGGCACATGAAAAACAACAAGGTGGTTGGTGATGGCCAGTATGGCTTCACTAAGGGGAAATCCTGCCTGACCAATTTGGTGGCCTTCTGTGATGGGGCTATGGAACTGATGGACAGGGGTAGAGCAGTTGATGTCATCTACCTGGACTTGTGCAAAGTGTCTGACACTGTCCCACGTGACATCCTTGTCTCTAAAGTGGAGAGAGATCAATTTGATAGGTGGACCACTTGGTGGATAAAGAACTGGCTGGATGGCCATATGGAGAGTTTTGGTCAATGGCCCAATGTCCAGCTGGAGACCAGTAGCGAGTGGTGTCCCTCAGGGATGGGTGTTGGGACTGGTCTTGTTCAACATCTTTGTCGGTGACAAGGGCAGTGGGACTTTAGTGTGCCCTCAGCAAGTTTGCCGATGACACCAAGCTGTGTGGTTCAGTTGATACGCTGAAGGGAAGGAATGCCATCCAGAGGGACCTTGACATGCTTGTGAGGTGGGCTGATGCCAGCCTTACGAAGTTTAACCATGCCAAGTGCAAGGTCCTACACCTGGGTCAGAGCAATCCCAGGCACAGCTACAGATTGGGCAGAGAAGAGATTCAGAGCAGCCCTGCGGAGAAGGACTTGGGGGTGTTGGTCGATGAGAAAATTAACATGAGCCGGCTGCAGTGTGCGCTCACAGCCCAGAAAGCCAACCGTATCCTGGGCTGCATCAAGAGGAGCGTGACCAGCAGGTCGAAGGCGGTGATCCTGCCCCTCTGCTCTTGTGAGACCTCACTTGGAGTACTGTGTACAGTTCTGGTGTCCTCAACGTAAAAAGGACACGGAGGTGTTGGAACAAGTGCAGAGGAGGGCCGCAAGGATGATCAGGGAACTGGAGCACTCCGTATGAAGACAGGCTGAGAAAGCTGGGGCTGTTCAGCCTGGAGAAGAGAAGGCTGCGTGGAGACCTCATCGCAGCTTTCCAGTATCTGAAGGGGGATGCTGGGGAGGGACTCTTCATTAGGGACTGTAGTGACAGGACAAGGGGTAATGGGTTAAAACTTAATCAGGGGAAGTTTAGATTGGATATAAGGGAGAAGTTTTTTCCTGTTAGGGTGGTGAGGCACTGGAATGGGTTGCCCAGAGAGGTTGTGAATGCTCCATCCCTGGCAGTGTTCAAGGCCAGGTTGGACAAAGCCTTGGGCAGCACGGTTTATTGTGAGGTGTCCCTGCCCATGGCAAGGGGGTTGGAACTAGATGATCTTAAGGTCCTTTCCAACCCTAACTATTCTATGATTCTATTATTCTATATGAAACCATTTATTATGCCATTTATTCGACTTTATCAAAACATCAGAAATATTTTCTTGAAAAAAGAAGAAAATCCCATCTCTGTCAAAAGTATTTGTTAAATAATCACAACTTATCAATTTTCACTTCTCATTTAATTACAGAGAAGTCTCTTGCACTGGTGCTTATCAACCTTATGGGAGGAGGGTGTTGTTTGTAGTATTTTATGTATTGGTTATTTTTATGAGGGTCATATTCCGTTTGTACTCTACATCTGCTTATTCTTTGTGCTTATTTGCTAAGAATGCGCATGGAAGCAATATTAGCAAATACAGCATGCTGCAGAATACAATATAACAGAAGGCAACCAGTTCACAGTATTTATAAACAGAAGCTTAAGTCCATGTTTAGGTGAACTTAGCTAGTACACATAAAGCTCACTGCAATTTTTCCAGTTTTCATTTCTGTGATGAGCTTTATTATTGGAGAATGTTACAGATATACTCCTGAAAGGAATTTTGTGTTCAAGCACAACATTCTTTAAAGAATTTTCACAAAGTATAATGTTTATCTGCTGTCTGGAAGGGGCTATTTGACCTTATAATTGTAATTTTCAATAAAAACAATGGAATAGTAGCTATTGCCTTCTCACTTTTGTGTATTATCTGAAGTACATACTCCAGCTTAACTTACTGGAGGTTAGTATCTTGGATAAGAATCAAAATGTGATTATTAAGGCATTTTGTTTTTAAGGAGACTTTCATAAAGCCAGTAACATTTTGCAAGTAACTTTCTTACAGAAATATATATGAGTTTAATTTTATATGTAGAATCTGCAGGTAACCTCAACTGTTAAAATATTTTTAGTTTAATTTTTAGTTAAATGTTTAGTTCACATAAATCAGTAAAATTCTAAGCACGTAGAATACAGACAAGCTGCCAACATTATAGAAGCTGCATTGTGGAAATGTCCATGACTTGCTCAAACTCCAAGTAATGAGGCAGGGGAAGTAGAAAGGAATCCCTGCTGCTTAATTCAGCTTTCATATTTTGCTCTTAATATGAATCAGGAGACTCACTGTTTTTATGGAATTATATGGATGATTAAAAATCAGGATTAATGGGCAAGAGTCAATTAAGATGTAGAGTCTTAGTTAACGAAAGCGAAATATCAGCTCTAAGCCACTTCCTTCCATATTTGTGTCAACACTTCTGGGATTGATCCTGCCACATTTTCATACAAATTTTTTAGAACATAGGGTTTCAAACATGGGTTTCAGAAGAAATTTTACTTTTTCAGAAACACGGCTCTACTTTTTCAAGTCAAGGCACATATCCATTCTCGATGCACTAACAGGAATTCCACTCAGGCAACCAAGAGGAAAAGTTCCTGAAGAGCTTTTGGATGGGTGAGGGAAGATGCAGATTACCTTCCATCTTTGCTCTGGACTCCAGAACAGCACAGAGATGAATTGGGCCCCAAGGCAATGCAAAGAAATTTTACTCTAACATTTACCTGCTAAGCCTCCTTGCAGCCTGACTAAGAACGTCCTGCCAGGTCATCCTCCTTATAGAAACAGATGATTGGGATCACAGCTGTTCATTGTTCGGAATCTCCCTTGCACATCCCAGTGAGGGCATAGGGCCAAAGCAAAGTACTCAGAGGCAGTGACTAGAAGTTAGCTGGTCCCTGTAGGGCAGAAAAGAGAACAAAGGTGTCCTTAAGAATATGTACCTTAAGTACTTCTTTACAGGAAGAAATTTAGCAGTTAAAACAAAAATTCAAACCCCCCCAAAAACCAACCAACAAAAAAAAAAAAGTGGGTTTTGTTGTGTATTTTTTCTTTTTGTTTGATTGTTTGTTTTTTTTTTTCTCCCTACTGTTAATATTGCCAGTGGTGTGTTTATTCCTGAGGAAAAGAAATGGATACATGTTTCCTCTCCTGTACTCCTCATAAGCTGGTGCAGAACGGTCTCAAGATCTGTGTTGTAGATTTGCCATACGTTTCTGCCACAAAATTCATGCGGATCTGAAACCACGGATCTGGGGTGGGGTGAAGATGAAGCTTTGACCTCGTTCTCCTCATTTCTTCATACACAGAAGACACGAGTAAGGGTGGTCTGCACACGGGTTTTTTTTAAGTCAATTGTGTGGGAAGGATGGAAACATTTTAGTTGATGTAATATACAGACATGCTCTGGCATGTCTGCACCAACGCTGAAATGAAACAGCTGACAATTTGATGCTTCCAATAGTCCATAGGAAAAAACAAACAAACAAAAAAAAACCCAAACAAAAAAAGAAAAAACTAAACAAAACACAACAAAAAAAAACCAAAACCCTGAAAGGGTTATCATTATAACCTGGTCAAAACTGGTACCATATCATCAGAATTCCTTATTTTTAAAGCCGAATTCCTGGCAAGTGATCTTCACATTTGCTCGAAAGCCACATTTGCTCTTTTGGGAAGTCACAGCTTCCTGTGTAGTAACGGAGCCAGAGAGCTGGGTTCAAGCAATGCAGCAGCAGGAGCCCCAGAGTAAAACGATGGCGCCTCAGCGCAGGCGGCGTCCCCTCACAGGTAAAAGGCTTGGAGCAGCCGACGCCCCTACCCCCAGCGACGCCTCCAAAGGTCTCGCCCTCGGGCCTCGGCAGCCGGCGGCGGCGATCTGGAGGCTCCGAACACCGTGACACGGGAGTGCCTCGCAGCCTCCCGGCCACAGGGCCACGGCCCACCCGGCGACTTGTCCTTCCCCGGGGCTCGGCCGGGGGCGCTCCGGCGTCGCCATGCGAGGGCAGCAGCACCGCGCGGACAAGATGGCGGCTCCCATGGAGCTGAGCTGCTGGGGAGGTGGCTGGGGGCTGCCGTCAGTGCACCCGGAGTCTCTAACCGTCATGGTAACTGCTGTCGGCCGCCACCCGCCTCGGGAGGGAGGGAGGGAGGGAGGGACGGAGGGACGGAGGGACGGCGAGACGGCACCCCGGGTCTCGCCTGCCGCCGGCACGGCTGTCGGCGGCACCCTTTCTCCCGGGAGAGGCGGCGCCGGCGCCGCTGGGCGCGCCCGCCCTCGTCCCCCTAGGGCGAGCCTTGTGCTGGGCGAGGGGCCGCCGCTGCCGCCGTGTTCGGCCGGGGGTAGGTGGGAGGTGAGGATGAATGGGCCCGTGGTGGCGCCTTGCGGAGCGCGCGGCAGCGGCGTCCCGGGATGTTGCTCTTTCCGAGGGCATCGTGCCTTGCGGTGGGCTGCCTGGCCTCGGCCTGCGCGGCCGGCATTGCCTAGAAGTGCATCAGGGCACTGACGACTGACTAAAACCGAATACGCCTCCCGGTGCGTGTCCTTTGAGTCGGTCCTCAGTGCCCGCATCTGTTTAAAATAATTCCTGAAGTGCTGTCTTACACTTCTCTTACACACCGGACTTACTTCCCCTAATCTTTATTGCAGGCTTATGCCAAATTTTCTGGTGCTCCCCTGACAGTGAATACTATAAATAATTCATGGAGAGCTCGCAAAGGTACCATCCTTGAGTTCTTTATTCTTTAATCATAGCCAAGTCATAAACGTGGGTTCCAATTTCTGTGTTCTTTCTGCATTTGCTTTGGGTTTGTGTTCAAGGGTGTAACCTGGCCCGGTGAAGGCTGACTGCTTTCACCACACATCAGTAAATGACTGCAGGATCAAGTGTGATGAATCTGTGGGAATAAAACAAAGGAAGACAAATAAAGTGCCTTAAAGGACAGTTTATTAAAATGGGTATGGGTGAAGCAGCAGGCAGTCAACAAAGCAGTAGTGCCAAGGACATACCTGTTCCTGTCAGCAGTCTAAATTGTTGTATAATGAAAACAAATTCTTAAGCTTTTTGCGCCCTGTCTGTTTATGATGGTAGTAACTAGACTTGTGTATGGAAATAATGTTATATAATTAAAGAATTATACATAATTTAATGGGCTGATACAGCTGGAAGTGGAATGTGAGCTTCAAAGAGTATAAACTTACACTAGCTGGGATGTGTAGTACTGTGCTGAGTTAGAGAGGCTGACTCAGAAAAGGTGACTAACAACCTAGTTGCTGGGGAAGTTGAAGATCAGGCATCAGAGAGGACTTCTTTGTGTCAGATACTTCTATGCATTGCTTATCTGTTTGCTCAGCACTGTCTTGGTGTATTCCAGGGAGGTAAAATCACTGCAGGGTTAAAGTACTTTTTTACTTTACACTTTCCACATTATCAGTTTAGGCATTACTGTATCCATGCAGAAGTAGTACCTTTGGCTCTTGCTTTTAAGCTTATTGTTTTCTGTTAGAAGAAAATACCAAGAACTAGCTGGGTGTACTTGCCAAATACTTCATAGCCAAAATACATAATATCTATGAAGAAAAATATCCAAATAGTTAAGTGTTGCTGATAATTGTTACTTTAATAGTATTTAGCAGCACAGTCATGATAGGCTCATTGTGGCAGTTATGTTGGGAATTTGCTATAAGATAGACCTGTTACAGAAATTTTACAGTGTGCAGTCTTTGATCCTGCAATCTGATGAGTAACGTCTGACCAGTAGGCTTCTGGCAGAAGGGAAGTACTAGGTTCATGATTATGCAGTGGTAGCGTGGGCAGTGACTCTAGAAAGACTAGAGTACTGTGTGCAGTTTTGGTGTCCTCAGCATAAGAAGGACATGGAGCTGCTGGAGCAAGTCCAGAAGAGGGCCATGAGGATGATCAGGGGACTGGAGCACCTGCCTTATGAAGACAGGCTGAGAAAGCTGGGGCTGTTCAGCCTGGAAAAGAGAGGCTGCGTGGAGACCTCATAGCAGCCTTCCGGTATTTGAAGAGGGCCTGCAAGGATGCGGGAAAGGGACTCTTCATCAGGGACTGTAGCGATAGGCCAAGAGGTAGTGGGTTTAAATTTAATCAGGGGAAGTTCAGATTAGATATAAGGAAGAAGTTCTTTACCGTGAGGATGGTGAGGGGCTGGAACAGGCTGCCCAAAGAAGTGGTAAATGCTCGATCCCTGGCAGCGTTCAGTGCTGGCTTGGATGGAGTTTTGGGTGACACAGTCTAGTGTGAATTATCCCTACCCTTTGCAGGGGGATTATAACTAGGTGATTTAAGGTCCTTTCCAACCCAAACTGTTCTATGATTCTATGATTTAGAGGGGAATGGGAGGGAAAAATAGGCGTAGAAGGAAGGAGAGGTCGAGAGGTGAATGAGTTGAGAGAGCAGTTGGACTGTCTTAGAATTTTTGTCTTAAAATTAATATCTGAAATCTGGACAAGGAGCCTGGTTCTCGAAGTATCAGCGATTTACCAGAAAACATTGGGCTCTTTCTTATGTGTTGTTATTAATGAAGGCCATAATACCCTAAATGTATTTGTGACCTTGGTGGAACTCCCCTACTAGTTAAAGCATAGTTTGTGTGTACATGTTAGTAAGATCCAAACATGAGGAAAAGTAGATGAAGTGACTTGATTGCTTTCTAATTAAGTTAGAACTAATCCACATAAATTGTTGACTGTGTTATTTATGCCTTCTAGGGGATGTGCCAGTCCTCATATCAGAAGACATTGTCATTTCTCAGCCAGCAAAAATACTAAACTTTTTAAGAAAGCAGGTAGGTCACTTCCAAAAGGTTTGTTTTCTCTGCCTCATAGTGGCTCTTGTCAACTGTATACAATGATACAGGCTTCTGAAAACTTGGAACTCAGTTCACACCCAGAGCTTTCTTGTTGCTAATACATGCATGAGAATTGCAAAATGGTGGATAAGAGATAGTTGTTTGAAAGTTTGATGGGTAGTTATGTGAAAGATACATAAATAGGCATGAGAAAAATATTCATTGAAAAGGACAACAAATTTGCCTTAATTGAACAGTTTCTCACTGAGCACCCTGCTCCTAATTATAACACTTTTACCACCATTATGACTTTGCAGACTTAGGATATCACAGTTTAGGAAGTGTGGTTTTAACTGCTTAAATGGATAATCATCTGTGAGTGCTCTTTTTTAAAGGATAATATGGTGTCAGTTTTAATCTACGTAGTTTTTCTATAGCCTGTAGTGTAAAAATGTCTGCAAGCATTTCTTGATGCACATCATGTTCTCATGTAGTCAACTCCTGCTTGCCTTTTGCAGATTTCTTCATGTTTTATTCACAAAGAATAAAGCTATATGATTTCTTCTTTGACAAAGTATAAAGATGTCTAGTAAAGCATTGCATCATCGTTTTATTTCTAAGGTTATTTTCCAGCTCACTGTTCTGCTTTTACATTAGAAACTCAGTTCCTGCCTAGTCAAGATTTAAAGTGAAACTTTAAAACTTTGGGGGCAGAAAAGCAGGATCTGAAAACTGCCTATTAGAGGTGGAATTTTAGACGGTTGTTTTAAAATTCAGAAGCGTCATAGTAATTTGAATACCAAAGATTCATTAATGTTAGGAAAAAAACCCTCCTTGGCTTAAAATGTTTGAATAATATACTTCATTTTAGATATCTAAGGGTCAGCACTGACCCTTTGTTTGACTAAGTTTATCTCCCTCTTAAAAACCTTATCAACTCTTCAGATAATGCTTTAAGAGGATCCAGTGTCAGAATTAAAAGCTCAGTCCACTGTAACTGCATTAATTTCACTGTGCATTTGGTCCTTTATATTGTTAGCATCCAATTTCTCAACTTTTAGAATGGTAGTCAAAAGCAAAAGATGAGAATATGTGCCTTTTTTATGCTTGCACCAGCTTAAGTGTCAGATTCTTCTTCAAAGATAAAGGTGAGGTCTTTCCAGAGGTTTGTTACATCCATAAGTACTGAAAAATTGCCTCTGTATCACTGGACAGTTGCTTGGAAAGCAGTAGGAGGGAGACACAAGAGTTACTGTGGGAATAGGAGGGCCCAAAAATCTAAGAATGAGGATGTAGAAAAGGGAGATGCAAGGAGGTTTGACATTGCTGGCCTGAAGAACAAAGGAAATTCTAGTGAGTGCATGATTTCTGTCCCGAAAAATGTTGTTTTATTTGCTGACTTGATAGGTGTTAAATTTGAAACAACTTCGGGTTGTGCTAATCATCTTTTTGGAAAGTTCCCAGTAACGCTATTTATAGTATGTAATTTTTTTTTTTTTCTTAATTTGTAGAAATACAATGCTGATTATGAATTGTCTGCAAAACAAGGGGCTGATACACTGGCATATATTGCACTACTTGAAGAGAAGCTGCTTCCTTCTCTGGTAAGTATTGAGAATTTTTGGAAGTGAATGGTACAAGAAGTGCCCAGTGTGAGAGACACTAAAGTCTCTCAGCCATAGTCCTGGCTAGAATTAGTGCAATTTTGGAAATACTGCCTAGCAACTTTTGTAAAGGAAAGAAGAGTGTATTTCATGGACTCATAGAATTGCTTGGGTTGGAAAGGACCTTAAAGATCATCTTTAAGGTCCCTGCCATAGGCAGGGACTCCTTTCAGTAGACCGGGTTGCCCAATACTCTGTCCATCACTGCTCCTCAGGCAGCCTGTTCCAGTGCCTCACTACCCTCTTTTGAGGTTTAAGCCCAGCTAGTAACCCAGAAACACGCAGCTGCTTGCTCAGTCCCCCCCTTCTTCCTTTCTCCCTGCTCCTGGAGGGATGGGGAGAAGAATCGTTAAGAATGTAGCTCCCACAGATTAAGAGAAGAGCAGTCCAGTAACTAAGGTATAAACCAGAACTACTACTGCTACCACCAATAATGATAATGATAAGGGAAATAACAAGGGGAGAGAATATAAAACTAAAAGGAGAAAAGGAAAACTCCCACATGACATCCTTGTCTCTAAGTTGGAGAGACATCAATTTGACAGATGAACCGCTCGGTGGATAAAGAATTGGCTGGATGGCCATATTGTGGTCAATGGCTCGATGTCCAGCTGCAGACCAGTAGCAAGTGGTGTCCCTCAGGGATCGGTGTTGGGACCGGTCTTGTTCAACATCTTTGTCGGTGACGTGGACGCTGGGATTGAGTGCGCCCTCAGCAAGTTTGCCAATGACACCAAGCTGTGTGGTTCGGTTGATATGCTGGAGGGAAGGAATGCCATCCAGAGGGACCTCGACACGCTTGTGAGGTGGGCTGATGCTAGCCTTACGAAGTTTAACCATGCCAAGTGCAAGGTCCTACAACTGGGTCAGGGCAATCCCAGGCACAGCTACAGGTTGGGCAGAGAAGAGATTCAGAGCAGCCCTGCGGAGAAGGACTTGGGGGTGTTGGTCGATGAGAAAATTAACATGAGCCGGCTGCAGTGTGCGCTTGCAGCCCAGAAAGCCAACCGTATCCTGGGCTGCATCAAAAGGAGTGTGACTAGCAGGTTGAAGGCGGTGATCCTGCCCCTCTACTCTGCTCTTGTGAGACCTGACTTGGAGTATTGTGTGCAGTTCTGGTGTCATCAACATAAAAAGGACACGGAGGTGTTGGAACAAGTGCAGAGGAGGGCCACAAGGATGATCAGGGGACTGGAGCACCTCCTGTATGAAGATAGGCTGAGAAAGTTGGGGCTGTTCAGCCTGCGGAAGGGGAGGCGACTTGGAGACCTCATCGCAGCTTTCCAGTATCTGAAGGGGGCCTATAGGGATGCTGGGAGGGACTCTTCATTAGGGACTGTAGTGATAGGACAAGGGGTAACGGGTTAAAACCTAACCAGGGGAAGTTTAGATTCGATATAGGAGGAAGTTCTTTATTGTAAGTGTGGTGAGGCACTGGAATGGGTTGTCCAGGGAGGTTATGAATGCTCCATCCCTGGCAGTGTTCAAGGCCAGGTTGGACAAAGCCTTGGGCAGCACGGTTTATTGTGAGGTGTCCCTGCCCATGGCAAGGGGGTTGGAACTAGATGATCTTAAGGTCCTTTCCAACCCTAACTATTCTAGGATTCTAAGAAAACAATAAACACAAGTGATTCACAGTACAGTTGTTCACCACTCACCAACTGATACCCAGCCTGACCTGCGCAGTGATCTGGGCCTTCCAGGTATTTCCTCCAGTTTATATACTGGGCATGACATGCTGTGGTATGGAATACCACAAACTCCTTTGGCTAGTTTGGGTCAAGTGTCTTGTCTGTGCTCCCTCCTGGCTTCTTGTGTCCCTCCTCACTGGTAGAGCATGAGACTGAAAAGTCCGTGATTGGAGAAAGAATTACTTAGCAACAACTGAAACATCGGTGTGTTACCAGCATTGTTCTCAGGCTAAAGTCAAAAACACAGCACTGCACTAGCTACTGAGAGGGAGAAAAAGAAGTTATTTTTCTGTTACTGCCAAATGCAGAGCGCCCTTGTAGTAAAGGACTTCTTCCTTACATCTAACACGAATCTCCTGTGTAAGTTTGAATCCAATACGCCGTACTCTGTTTCTACAGTCCCTGATGAAGAGTCCCTCTTTGACATTCTTATAGGCCTCCTTCAGATACTGGGAAGCTGCTGTGAGTTTTCCACGCAGCCTTCTCTTCTCCAGGCTGAACAAGGCTGTTTGCGTAGCAGAGGTGCTCCAGCCATAGAATCATCCTCATAGCCTCCTCTGGACTTGTTCAAGCAGGTTCCCGTCCCTTTTGTATTGGGGGCCCCAGGGCTGAATGCAGTACTTATTTGTGGGGTATGAAGTAATAATAATGAATGTATGAAACACATTTTAAAAGGCATCTATGATTTGCTTTTATTTTATGTGCTTTTCAGGAAACAATATCCTGAAAGCAGCTTATTGTTGCTGTTTGTTTTTCACTTGAGTGTTCTGAAAAAGTTGTGTTATGTCTGATGTGGGGTGCACAACTGTTTAAACCTTTTGAACAGTTCAGGTAGAACTTTTGAGAAATCAAAATAATTTCATATTTAATTTCTAAATAACACATGGATGCATGCCCTCACCAATTTAGTGTAAGTATATTACAGCTATAAAAATCCTCAGACATCAGATCTCTTGAATGACTTTGGCTTCAGTTGTACAGGAAAAAAACATTCTGACCAGATGATACCATAGACTAGCCTCTTCAGCTGACCTGCAGGATTACAAGCCACCATTTATAAAACTTTAAGATTTGTATAAAATTAGAAAGAATATTACAGAAACCTCAACCTGGTACTGTATGCATACAACATTTTTTGTAATATGTTTTCTATGTGTAGTGTGTGTGCATTTGAGTGTGGATATGTGCACATACATAAACATGAGTGTGTATGTAATTTTATGCATGTGTGTATAGGTCTGTAATATCTTTGTTGTTTTCTTTAGGTGGAAGTTGTTGTCTTAATTATATACTCCTACACTTAAAGAATGAGTATAGTTCTTTATGGAGCCTGATTGCTTTAAATTACAGTGCTACTGGTGCTACTGTTTCTGTGACAGAGGCCTTGCACATCAAACTTTTGAGAAGTATCTACTTTTCTTGCTGAAATTCCAGTCACATTTTTCTTTGTGTTGATACAGCTGCACACTTTCTGGGTTGATGCTGAAAATTACTGCAGTGTGACAAAACCATGGTTTGCCTCAAGGATTACCTTCCCACTGAGTTTGTATCTGCCTGGAAAGATGTCCAGGGAAGCGCTGAACAGGATTTTGCTGACCAGGGGAGGGCCTCCACTCTACACTCTCCCTGAAGTGGAAGCACAAGTATGTGTTGTGTAATAAAGAATTTGTAAGTTGATGCTGTCAAAGACGAGAATTGAAACAGCCTAGCACGCTGTCAAATAATGAATGATGTTATGCATAGTAGCCTTGCTAAACCTAGGGCTCTTAGCCAGTTTTGTGTCTTATCAGATATACAGAGATGCCAAGGAGTGCCTAAATCTCCTGTCGAAGAGATTGGGAACATCTCAGTTTTTCTTTGGAGATACGTGAGTGTGATTTTTTTTGTTTTGTTTTGTTCTGTTGTTTGTATTTTGGTTTTGAAGGTTTTGTTTCTTTTTAATGACTAATAATGCAGGTACCACATGACTGTGTGAGCACAAGTTTCTTTTTTTGTTTTGGTTTGTTTTTTTTATCTCTTTGAACATAAAAAGTGCTGCACAGTAGTTTCACATCTCACACTCTGCTTTACAGATAAATTTGAATAAATAAACAGGTCACTAAGAAGACATTTGGAGTAAGGCAATGTGGTGTCTCCCTTATCCTGAATTTTTCCAGAGGGGCAGACTACAGCTGCTAAGAAAATGTCGGGTGCTTGATGAGTTAATGTTGCACTAACGGGTGATTTTCTAGCCCGTGAATGTTGCCTCCTGTGCTTGTATGTAGAAAAACTGCTTTAAGCCGGGGGGTGATACCAGCACCTTCATGGGTGGAGGGTGTATGTCTGGGAGCGCTCCTCTTCCTGTGGTACGTCCACAGAGCAGGAAACATACATTGCCAGTGGCATAGTGCCAGCAGTTCCTAAAAAGAATGATCTCTTCCTTTAGCCAGTGAAGTTGGACCACTTTGTGGGAGAGGATCCTGGTCCCCTGACATACAGTTTGGCTTTTATACTGCAGAAATATGGTTTAGAGTGGCTTATCAGCATGACTATGACTGGATTTTAATGCTGAAGTTAGTGTTTCAGCTTGCCAGTATGTCTCTAGTTCAGAGGTGCTGAACTCAGTAGATCATCTGTACACTTACCAGATTGATTTGAAATCAAAGCATTTAACAGATTTATGTGAAAAGATGGAATGCTGGAAAAGCTGGCTCTGTTCTGTCCTAAGTTGTGTTTGACATACACACAAAGCAGTTATATTGTAGCAGTCTTAATGTTGTACTTCAGTCACTTTGGGTTTTTGTTTTGTTTTGTCACTCTTTTCAGGCCTACCACCTTGGATGCCTTTGTGTTTGGTTTCCTTGCGCCAATTTATAAAGTGTGCTTCCCCAGAGTACATCTACAAGAGCATTTGAAACAGCTTCCCAATCTGTGTCGATTCTGTGATGATATTTTAACTTGCTACTTCAGGTTAACTGCCTCAGGTAAGCTTTGTTTATTTCCCCCTTTTTGTCATCTGTAGTCTTGTTTGGATTAGGACTTCAGTATTCCATCTGCGAACCAAGGCAGAATTAGATTTTATGTAGTTTATGCTAGAGCTTCTGTGGGGAAATGAGGTAGTGAGTTGTGCTCTGCAAGCATTGCCAAAAATACACATGTATGCTATGGCTTATGCTTAATACTCTTGGTTTTCTCACTTAGAATGGCATTTACACTTAATTTCTTGTTTGCGTAAAAATACTTTATGAACTTTCTCTCCAATGTGGGTTCATTTTTAAGGATTTAAAGGCTTTTCTAAATAGCTTTTCACTCTTCATCTTTCTGCCTTCACCCTCCAGGCCATTCTCCGGCTGGACAGGATACAGCAGATGCTAATCTGCAGAAACTCACACAGCTTGTAAATAAGGAATCCAACTTGATTGAAAAGGTTATGTTTGCTTCAATCTCTAATATTCCTGCTTCATTGTGGTTACCTGTTCACAGATACTTTTGCATGACAAATGCAGCTGTGTGGTGGACATTTTATTTTAACTGCTTCTTTTCTAAGTGAGTTACTTTATGTAGAGAGGCAGGAAGAATTATGTCATTTGAAAATAATAATGAAGCCTTGTACTTCAAAAGTATTTTCATTACAATCAAAAGCATTATCTTGCAAGTGTGCATACGAACTAAAGAAGATGTCTTTCTGCAAGTACATTCCAGGAAAGAAATGAAATGTATTGATCAAGACCCAGAAATGGTCCTTCAAGTTAAGACCAATTGCCAGCTCTCCTTGCTCCCAACTGAACGCTGTAGTCACTAACGTACAGTCACTCTTCCTTCTGCTTGTTCTACATCCAGCTTTTATTTCTTTGTATTCTTTGTCTCTAAGGCTGTGTCACTTAGCACCTATCAAAAGCTATGCAACTCATGTGAAAAAGACTTGTGAAGAATTAGTGTTCTGATACAGACGGAACACTTTAACTAGAAGGATAGGAGGCATTTTTTCCTGGAAAAGACCAGAGTAGGAAATAAATCATTAACTATGAACAGCTTCTGTAGCTTTAGGTATGGATTGTGTCTCCTTTTTGTGGTATTGAAGTGGCTGTGGAAGTTTTTAAAGACTCCTGTCGTGAAGTGGGATGGACTAGACAATCTCTGGAGAACTACCCTGTGCTGTCTTCTGCAATTTGCTTTATTCTGTAGTAACTAGACTGTCTTTGATACCACATTATGCACAGGGCATTAGATTGATTTCCTATGAAAATGTAGAATCTTTATATTTCAGAGATTAATTTTAACATGTCTTTGAAAAGGTCTTGTCAGAAGCACTTTATTAAATACTTTTTGAAATCAGTAACTGATCTAAATTCACTCAGCGCCTCCAGAACATTTCTAATTTGAAAAAGGTTTGTTCTTGCAAGGTGCTGAACATGCAAAATCATCCATTGATACTAGCAGTTTGACTTTTGATCAGTTTTCTTTTTTTTCAGCTTTTTTTTTTTTTTTTTTTTTCAAAATGCTGCTGCATTTGGCTATGGTACAAAATTGAAACATTGGTCTCTTAGAAGAAGGTAGCAGTGTTTCTTTCTTCAGTAATGCTGATAGAATTATTTGAGCAGAAGCAACCTATTTGCCCTTTGGGGTTGATGCACCATATGCTAGTGGAATGAAACAAGCATATCTTTGGGAGTGGAAAGGAGCCAAGGCATCAGTTTTAGCTGGGCCTGGAATAACAGGGGAAAAAAATATCCCAAACCAGCATTAATGATGGCAGCGCTGACAAACAGACAATTGTGTAATCTGTATTCTACTGTTTGCCAGATCCGGCTCTCATTATTTCCCTGCAGATGGACGACAACCTTCGTAAGAGTCCCCAGCATCCCCCTCGAAAGCTAAAGACGCTCAAGCTTGCTGCAGGTGGAGAAGAGGGCAGTCCATTGAATCGTTTGTCACCTTGACGACTTGTTGCTCATACACCTGCATTTGCCTTCAACTCAGAATTCTGAGCGCCACAGTAAATTTTTTCACGTGAATGTTGTTTCACAAGGGAAGAATCTGCTTATGGGTACAGCTAGGAAGAAATAGAGCTTTACAGTCTCCTATCTACCTGCTCTTTTAAGAAGTTGCATAGTTCAGGCTGACCACACACTAAGCTGAGGCTAAAGTAAACAAGAGGCTTATTCTTGCAGATGTTAATGTGGTTTTGTACAGCATATTTTGGCCTTTAGCCTAGCAGAAATGTTGACCAAAAGTTAAAATTCCACTTACAGAATGTTCACCATAATTTTATTTTGTGGCTTTTGATTTTACTGTAATCATGTTACTATATGTGAGTGGGTATACTCTTGTATCTGTCTGAAAATTACAAAGTCGAGTTTCAAAATCATTGAAAAGAATGGAAGGGAAAAAAAAAAAAGTTGCTCTTTGTGGCAGCCAAGAAATGAAAAACGATGGGTGGAAGTTAAATATTTTTATTGTACATTCATGAACACTTCTGTGTTTTAAGGTGGTTTGTATTTTTGAAAATATTATCATGTTGTACTTTGACGGGGATTGTTGGAAAGTGTGTGCAGTGTGGGAGCACAGTGATGTACACTACTAGCATTTCACAGGTACCTGGTATTAGTCCTGAGTGAAGCAGGCTTAACCTGTGCATAGGGGAATGCCACATGCTGCAGAACCGTTACATGAGAATCAGAGAGCACCAGTAGTGAGCTGGAGAGATTTGGCTGAGTCCTGTTGGGATGAGAGACTTGACTAGCAACTACACTGTGGTTCTGGATTGAAAGGGACTGATTAGGGCTTTATGAGAAAGTTGAGATAGGCTTTTAACTTTGTCACAAATGCCTCATGTTAGTTTTGTCTTAATTTTTTATAAGCACTACATTTCATTCAAAAACTAAAAAAAAATCCAAATTTTTGTTTTTTGACAGTCTAGTTCAGAGTTCTTTTATCTCTGCAAACTTTAGTACATTGCAGTGCATATATCTTCTGTTCTAATTAAGGGACTTAGGTCTCATTACATATTCTCTTAGCAGCAGCCTTGCCAGTTCTAGAGACCCAAGCAATTCCTTTACAAGGGAAACGCTGTCATTCTCTACTGGCAACGTGCTGGCAGATGCTTCATGAGTGGGTGAAGTATCTGCCAGATAAGAATTAATCAAGGAGATCAGCCAAAATGGCAGTTCTGGGGATATAGCATTCCCATATCTCTATGTATGGGATGACTTTTTTTTTCCTTTTTTCAGGTCAAATAGAAATAGTCTATAAGCTTCCCTTCAGCTAGTAGTCATGTTTGAGATATATAGATAAATTATTTCCTATTTATAAAAACAAGACTGTAGATTGTGTACATACTGTACTTTCAGACTTGATATGTAAGGAATGTAAGATCTTTAACATTTCTTAATTATAATTGAAATGTTGGGTTTCTAAAGAGCACTTTAAAATAATGTTTCAGCTCCATGCTCTTACTAGAATATTTATTTCAGTGATTTGAAATTAATCTAGCTCATACTCATGACAGTTGTATAAACTGACAGTCCACTTCATCTAAAAGTAAGTCAGACTTTTAGAATTTTTACTGCCTGTATCTTGATAAGGTTTAAATGAGATCAAGTCACATGGCTTTTAAAAATCTCTTAATTTCTAAACATGGCTTTGGAGAACATGCCTTAGTTTGTTGCTTTTGTGAAGATGTACACTCAGTCTCTAAAATCTCTTTGTAAAATGGTCATTGTTCCAGAATTAAAACTTTTGATTTTTTGTGGAGTTCTGGTAGTATTTTTTCATGGAAATAGTGTCAGGTTTTTTGAACACTTTTCTTTCTCCTTATGAAAAAGTTTATTAAATTTTAATTACAGCTTTTCAGGAGAAATCTTTTCTTTCAACAGCTGCTTGCAGGGGAGGAGGCTGTGGGGAAGCACAGGTTTTGTAATCTTTCTGTTGTCTTGTTGCTACCAGGGCAGCTGGTGGGCCTTCTCTTCCCTGCACTGCTCCTGGAAGATGAAGATGGCAGGGAAGAGGTTATTACCTCTGGAGCAACTCCAGCCTGCCATGCTTTCCCAATGGAGGTGGCTGCCAACTGTAAGCCGGCTCAACAACTCGAGAGGTTGCAAATTTAACACTCCTGTGCCCAGGCAAACTTTCAGTGGAAGTGCATGGAGGTATTTTCAGGGCTAATCTGTATCTTTCTGTCAGCTGGCTATAGGAACTTGTCTATTCCAGAAGAAATATGATGAAAAATGTTATGAATGAATTGCTACAAATATGGTATATTTAGCATTTCCAAGACACCTTTAAAATGTCTTTTCCCCCTGTAAAAACATTGTTGCATTAGGCTTTTATAAACACTTAAACATTGCTGAAATCATGTCGCTTTTGCTAATGTAGCTTAAACTCTGTCAAGAAAAACACCCAGTTGTATTTGATTCCGGGTTAAAATGGTTTCCAGACTCACTTGAGTAACTTTCTTCTCTCGCTTGGTATTATTCTTGGCATTGCAGTAGGAACCATTCACAGTGCTGAGTATTTTTCATACAGTAAGGTGGACCAGCTTTTTACATTAGCCTGACAAACTATGCTGTGGCTCAAATCTGGCTGGGTGCACTGTTGGCAATGAGTTGCCCAATCCCTAACGCACTTACAGACTCTGTTGACTAACAAGACACTGCATTAAAAGAATGTACTGTTTCACAGTACAACTGTCCAGTTTCACAAACCATTTTGGTCTGTTGTTTGTGGTTAGCCTGGTTCAGCTAAATGGGTCATAATCCTGCCTGGTGCTAACCAGTGCCAGTGAGGTGATGGATTTTTGTAGAGTACTGATGCAGGATCAGGCTGTTTAGCATGGCACGTGCTATTAAAGAGCCGCACAGAGGGTGGAGCTGGTCAAATCCCAAAGCACACAGCCCAGAGCTTTCCACTTGTTCAGCCCTAACTGTGCCAGCGGAAAAGCCACTCTCTTCCATTCAGCTGGCCCAGGCATTTTAGCCGCCACAGGTGCTCTGGACCATGTTGTTGGGACCTGCCAGGTATATGCCTGCAGTAGGAAGCTGGGGAACTGGCTGAGCATAGGCAGGTTTCTGAGTGAGAGGCTATTCTCCTGGCTCAGCTGCTCGTCAGGCATATGCCCACCTGCTGTCTGGCATATAGGCCTCTTGTTAGCATTAATGTTCTGCACCTGTGCGAGACCTAGCCATTCAGGGGTGATGATGATGTGCAGCTTGATGTTCTGGTAGTACCTTGTGCCCTGGGTCTGGGCAGGAGAGCAGAAGCCAAGCTCCCCTGTCCAGGTCTACTTGCACTAGGGAAGTCTACCCAGCAGTGGGAGGGCCAGGGGCAGCCTGTTATGGAGCAGAGCTCCATATCAGGGGTAGCTTCTGGGAAGGCAGGTGAGGCTTTGTACCACCTCAGGGATATGTTAAAGACGGGAAGAAGGAGGTCCAGTATTTGCTATACCACACTGGTTTGCTGTTTGTGCCTGGAGTAAAGCTCTCAGGAACAGATCCCAGGTGCAAGTGAAATTGGATCAGGTTGGATTCAGAAGCTGGGAAGGAGAAGGAAAGAAAAGGTTAGCAAGGGAAAGGCATCATGGGCGTGTGCTTTCATGCTCAGTGACCTGTTGTCTGAGAGATTTATTAGTATCACAGTACTTGAGACTGTGAAAGATTTCCTCACTAAGTACAATGGACTGTTCTTGTGGGCAGAAGGTGGGGAAAATCCAATGACTTGCTGCAGGTTTTACAGAAAAAAAAAAAGCAAGAAAAGGAAAATTACTTGTAATATGCTAGGCCAGTGTGGCCTAGTGCAAGACCGAGCAAGCAAGATTTACTGAGTTTTATTAAAAGCTAAGCTGAGGCCAGGAATTAGTGGAGGACAACTTTAGTTCCATGGCAAGTAAGGTCTTGCAGTAAATCAGCCTATGGCACAAGATGTTCCTCAGCATTGTTCATCTCCCTTTTGCTCATTCCCTCATTAAAACTGTGTGGGGTATTTTTCATCATGAACGTCAATGTTCCAATTTTTTCCAATGTTGAAGTATTGTGTGCATGGTCTGTTGGTGATTTACTGTTATCAAGATACAGAGTGTAGCTGGTCCTTCAGTTTACTAAGAGTGCAGAGAAATTGCGTGCCTTGGGTATCAAGTGGCTCATTAAGTAGAAGCAGTCCCTGTGTGAGCAATTCGGTACTCGGCTCAAATTTGCCAAGCCATTTTGACAAGGGTGGCCAGGCAGCCTGCCAGTTCATACAGACACTTCAAGGGTTTGGTTTCCAACAGTGTAGAGGTGAGAGGGACAAGGAAGTGCAAGTCTCTGCAGAGCTACAACTTACCCAAAGCAGCCTGGTGGAGGGGTGAATCCAGCTCCACTCACATTGTGGTTTGCTGCAGTGAATGATCATTTATTTATCTGTTGCTACCACCTGACTTATTGTTGGTACAACAGCAGCTGTGCAGGTGGTGAAACAGTCATGTTGGGAGCTGTCCTCCCCAGGCTGTTGTCCTTACTGTGCTGCAAACAGGGTCCCTGTGTCTGCCCTCTTAACCTCGATGCCCTGCTCTCTGACTTCCACGTAGCTGTTATCACCTACCCATGCTCTTGTCCAGTTTTGGCACTTGCAGTTATTCTTCCTTAGGTAATTATTTCAGATAAATTTGACTGATTTTCTGATTTTCTTTTCCCTATGCATTTTAGTTGTTTTTATTTTAAATCTTAAGTCTTCTTTTCCAACCTTTTTCCATTCTTGCAGACAGTTATTCCAACTTATATTTAACTTTCACTTGAATGGCATAGCATTAGAGAGTCAGATGCTGAAGGGAAAGTTTTTAGGTTTTCATGTGGGCACCAGCTATGGGTTGTCTTTGTGTTCTGAGAATTATTAAAAGCACACACAAAAAAAGGAAAAACTTTTTTTTCTTCTCACTGTTACAAGACCAATATTTGGTTAAACTGGGCTGCATATGTTCAGGTCAGGACTTACCAGTGAGTTTTGCTCTTAGTTGTGGCCACAGTAAGAGACATCCCAAGAAATTCCGTCCATGGGGAAGAGGAAGGGTTGCAGCACCTCCATGGCCAGTGACATATTCTGCTGAAACTGTTGCTGTTGGAAATGCAAATTTTTGAAAACTGTATGCTTCACAAAAAATGTACTGTTTTGTACAGGAAAGATTGCTCATACCCAGATAGGAATCTGAGGGGAGAAGGGAGGTGGAAGGGGACTGATGGGTACAGATCAGGCACAGATTTGCCTGGAATAGCTGAATCCCCCTCCCTGATTACGTGGGAGAGGGATTTCAGCACTTTCTGAATTAGAAAAAGTGAGAACTCATTTTGTTTGCTCCACAGCTCTATCCAAGTGTCTGAGCTAGTGGCTTAGTAGTTTTTCTGCAGCGGGCAGAGATACCTTATTTTTCACAAAAGTCCTTGAGAGGTCTTGTTTCCTCAGTGCAAGATACGAAAAACTCAAAAATCCCCCTGACTTCCACAGGCTAAGAAAGCAGTTTCCCATCTGTTCTATTTGCCTCCTTATTTTAGCTGAGCCAGGTAGCTGTCTTTGCAGATGGAAGACTAAATTGAAGTGCTGTTGGCAGTCAGTGGCACCCAGTGTAGAGAGCATAGCAATGGAGTGACATGCTCAGAAGGACTGAAGCAGGCAAGATGCTTACTCTTTCTGATGAAGTATGTTTTGTGGGAGTTGCGGTACCTGCTAGATACCACCTCCAGCAATGGGCAGTTCTTGAGAGCAGTCTCCAAGCGCTCTGTGCTGTTTGCAGCCCTGACAGACATCAGATGCTGCCACAGAGACCAGTGAGAACAAGGTCAGCTGGGATTACAGTCCCCCAGTGAAAGACAGTGGGAAGAGTAGGGCATTACCCTCTTACTCCTAATACTGCCATCTCAGCTTTCTCTCAGGTCAGCTTTAGGTCACCTGGCATAGAAGGCCACTGGCTTTTGTTGGCTTATCTTGACACCAGCATGGTGCCAGTTTGCTCTCCTGCAGTCTCACCAGCCTGGGGAAGACCAAACCTAAAGCTGCCAGCTGTCATTGCTTATTGGCTTTGATTTGGGAAGTTCCAACACGTGAGGGTGCTCCCATCACTGCTTTTTCAGCTTTTGTGCTGGGATTTAATGACTGGTTGGCAAAAGGACAGTAGACAAAAACAGTTGCCCTTTTTCTTTCTTTAGGCATCAGAAATTCACCCTCAGCCGTGACATGTGCTGACTCTGAACCAAGCCTGATGCATAACTGAAATCAGAGAAGTTGGGTTATCGGTGACAGAGAAGTGGGGTCCTCTTTTACTATGTAGTTGATAAAGGAAAACAGTTGAAGAGGAGTCTATGGCAATTTTAGGGCCTTTTGTTTAATGGTCAGTGTAGACATTGTTAGGAGTTTCTGCCAACTTCTTCTGTTTTTTCCCCTTTATCAAGATGGTGTCAGCCCTCTGCCCTGATTATTGCCAGTGCTTGTTAGCTGGGTTTCTGAGTAGGCCAGATTCCTGGAAGAAGGCTCCTGGATGTTGGCTGACTCATAGGATTGTAGGAGAGGTGGGTGTACCTGAGAAATACAAGAGACTGCTTTCCAGAGCTTGATTAAAGCACACACCAAGTTTATATAGTGATTTGTAGGTGGAAAACCTTTGCAAAGTATGAGTTTGCTGTTTTATGAGGCAAAGTAAAGGAAGATTTCCTTACCTCCTCCACAATAAGGACACATGCCTATAGAAAAGTCCTGCCCACATCTGCATAAGATTGCGTTTTCCAAGCT